TTCCCCCCCCCCCCCTCCCTACTCGAGAACTTAATATAGTTGATATAGCCGAAAAAAGGCTTTTAGATAAAGTGAAGTTCAATTTTGTTCACAGACTTTTAACCTGGTATTCTCGGACATCAGAGTTGGAAACTTGCCAATCGAAAGATTAAAAGTTCCGTCTTAAGTTAATGATACTTGTTGATGTATTTAAATGGATGATATTTTAGGACATTTTAGACAGCTCAATTTCCATTAAACTTGGTCTCGTTGAAAGTGCGTTGACGGTATCTTACCCATAACCCGCGTATTTGCCTGTAAAGTACGTTATAGTGTATTCCAGTTAATTCTATTGGCACAAACTATAAGTGATGACCTTGATAGAACGGTATTGGCAAATAGAGAAGAAAGCAAACACGTAAGGTGGTCGAGATGGAGCAGACGTCTCAAATAATCACCCGCGAATAGGGCCCCAAAGGGAAAGATTTCCCGGGCAATTAAGTTCGCAAAGTTTCTGCGTACACACGCACACACACACACCTTGCCTTGTGCTGTCCAAAGCGCAAAGCGAGGCGCTCTGAGGCACCGATCTACTGGAGTGTCTGTGGGCGAAGCTCTACACAAGTAAATCTCACCTCTTCTCACACCCCAATTTCAACCCCAAATGAATAGATAAGACCGAATTATCAGTAAAACTTCAAGTCATTGTAAGAAGAAGATAATACAGGCAATGGAAAATAATATTAGCATACACAAGTGCTCCTTTAACGTGTGCGAGTGTAGAGATCTTCGCCAAGTTCAAGGAGTTGTTTAGAGGGCGAGAAAGAGAAAAAAAACACGCTTTGTACATGGGGAGAGGGGAAAAGAATACGCTGTGTACGGAGTCGTAGACGAGTGCTTTGGTTAAATGTCAGAAGAGATTGCATAAAAGTACTTCTATAATATACATGTTTTGAAATAGTGATTATATTCTGTACACGCGAAATCAATCCTGTTCAATCATATCCATATCCAACTCTCGAAACTTCTCAGCAGAAGCTTCTTCTGTCTGCATAGGAGAGTACCGTCTGCGGTGATTCAAGCCCGGTGCTATTCCTCCAAAGGAGTCATCCTCATCGAGGGAATCTTCCTCACCTTCCTCGCTAGATAGCACGATATTTCCAGCAGTTGCTTTGAAGGAACACGGAGATCCTTCAGTTGAACAGGAATTGTGATGGTGATGGAGATTTCCATTCTCCTCGTCTTCTTCAGAAGAGGAAACCGGATTAATTGGACGGAAACGGGTTTGAGGCGGTGGTGTTAGGGTTCCTGCATCGTATTCCTCCAGAGCACAACATGAAGGATACTGCTGTTGCAAGAGAGCGGCTTCATTCGATTCCTCTTCTTCGCTGGCCTCTGAAAGTCCTGAAAGCTCTTTCCGACGACAGGACATAATAAAAGCACTCTCAGAATCCTGCGGGAAGATTATATCAGATTGGGAACGAAGCTGAGGGCTGACTGAAACCGTTTCTTGATTCAAGGTCGACCCCGCTCCTTCCGAGTTAGAAATTAGAAGATCAGGATTGAAAGAAGAAGGGGCATCAAATGAACCGACATGCTGATGAGAACCAAACAAGAAAGCTCCACTATCAGCCTCCCATATTAGACCTACGTCATGGCTACACCGCCGTCTTTTCAAACCCACTTGACGTGAAAGACACTCTGCTGAGGCCACAGAACCACAATTACAAGTTGGTACACCTGCAGCACATGCTGGTTGTGACTGACAACGTGATTTTGCCGCCTCTATTGAACAGTTGTGATGCTGCTGACAGCCTGAAGAACCATCGGGTTTGAGAATGAGACCACTGGGTGGTTGCGGATCAGATGAGTTAGTAGTGCTGCTACAAGAGGAATGCGAGAGACTGCAAATGTCCTGAAAAAATCCTGAGGATGCAGCGGAGACAGTGGGGTGAGGAAGTGGGACAGCAGTGGAATGAGAGGGAACTAAACTTCCTACTCCTCCACAGGGAGAGGATACGGTATCGGGAGAGAAGAAAGGTGGGATCGGATTTATCGTAGATCCTTCCGGTTCATCTCCAGAAAGGCTCATACGCCTAGATTGGGTCGTTGGTGTAAATGCGGATAGGCGACTAAAATGTAGGAAAGACGAAGATTTAACAAATCGCTAGAATGGAATTATATGCATCAGAAACTTTCGCCCAACTTACTGATGACTAAAGTCAGTAGGATTTGAATTTGTGGAGGTTGAGATACAGGCCAAAGATGGGGGTTTTCGAAGTTTCACATCTTTAGCAAAGTCTGAACCACTGGCGATGCTGCTCCCACCAATGACGACACTATGTCGAGAACCACTGGATAATCCAGGGTGGATGGCAAATCGTCTGTTAGCACTACCACTACTTCCACAAGCAATAGGATGATGCCAGGAAAGACGGGAGCCTGCGGAAGTAAGTTGATTCACAGCACCACTATTTCGCAATTTAACACAACCAGAGGCAACTAGAGCGTGTGCAGTAGAGGAAAGGTTGGAAGGATTTGAGACGGCGGAGGTGGCAGGCGAGTAAAGAGCTCGCTGAGAGACACGAAGAGCAATTGGTCGAGCAATAGTCCGACGGGAGGCGAAGAGTTTTTGGTTCGAGCTCGCACTCTGTGAACGGCAGGAGCGTTTTACCGGGGGTTGATGACGGGAGGCCATATCCTCGCTGCTTTTCATCGATTTATCGTCGTCTAGACGGTGCTGGCAGAAACAACAGCTTTTACGATCTCCTGCTACTGAAGCTTCACACCAACTTCCAGCATCGGTAGGAGGGAAGAGAACAGCTTGACCATCCGGAGCACTGGTCGATACTATAGGAAGAAAAAATCCATCGATTAATGCTAACTCGAATGACTTTGTTTCTGGATGCCCAAACTATTTGGAAAACCATTTTAACTACCTTGAACTACATCGCATTTACTTGCCTGGCACAACCGACGCGACTAGCTCTTCCGATCAATGAAAATAAGAAAAAAGGAAGTATACAAGCCAGGTAACTTAATGACCCAGGAGGTCATATAAATTAGGATACACATGGTTCCCTAAATCGCATTCTACTTTAAGTGTGACAGGGTGTGCGATAGACTTATCTCCACGTGGTGCACCCTGGACAACGTATACTCATACGGCTAAAAAGTCTATTAACCGGCAGTTGACTTCTCACTTCAAACTACCATCACCCCATTGTATGTCATATTCTACCACTTTCACAGTACTCACCTTACCCTACTCTCGACCTTTGTGTCTGCCTCTTTTACATCTTTTAAACACTCTTCTGTC